CCCGAACCCACCCGGGCTCGAAAAAAATCACGTTCGTACGTTTACAAAAAATATACTAGACCACAGGCGGCCCGATCAAGTTTCAAAAAAAAAAGGAGAGCACTGAGATGAGAAATCGATGATCTTTAAGTTTGAGCAGCCGGGGTAACGGGATTGCCAGAGAGTGGGGCCAAAAATTCTCCAGTAGAAGGATCCCTCACTTCACCTTCCTCGTCGCTACTACTCCCTGACGATAGATCGGCTACACATCGCTGAGGCGACATATGAGACCCGTACTGATTAAGGGAAGCCGCGACATCAGCCACGACCCTCTCCGAAGAAGGTTCGAAGCTGCGTCGCGGCGTGACTTCAAAATCTGCGTCTGTGACCTCGACGACGTCAAGGGCGCCGAGCTCAGCTATATACTTTGCTTTATCTGCCGCAAGGCTTTGAAACCGCGCCTCGAAAATCTGCGCTCCCACCTCTTTGATGTCTTCAAGATAAGCCTTAATGCATCCCGATTGGTTTGCAAGGGAAGTAATGCGGTTCACTTCCACCATGTCCTTGCAGTACCGCTTTAGTTTTCCCTGACGCTGCTGCTGCCGACCTCGCAGGGCCGCTTCGGCCTTACTTACTTCAACGACCAAGCTCTCATTTAGCCGAGCTATCTCTTGGTCAGCCCACGACTTAAGCGATCCCCTTGCCGCTCTCTCCGCCTCTAACTCCTCCTGGAGCTCCCTGTTTCTCAGCCTGGTCTCCTCGGCCTGCTTAGACAGCTCGCCCGATGATGCGGTTAGCTGCTCTATCTGCATCATCACTCTATCAAAGGCTTTGTTCAGCTTCCGATCGTACATCATAGTGATGTTGTTCGTCGCAGCGATCGCCTAAAAGAATAGGAGAAATCATAGGCCCCAGGAGCGGCCTCCTCTTCTTGCTGCTGCACGGCCTCTTCTGCCACGATAGGCTCCTTTGGTGCCGAAGGCGACCCCTCGGCACGAGATTTCTTCAGGGTTCTCCGTGCTTTGATCTTGCCATATTCTTCTTCGAAGAATCGAGCACGAGTGCCGCGGTGATATGCGCGGCTGCCTTCACCTGACTAAGGTAACTAATACCTGACTACACGTCGTCTACGATATGCTAAATGAGGTAATGACCTGCTAATACCTGACAATATGTCATGTATGTCATGTAAAATGAAAAAATAACTTGTCAGTAGCAAGTAAGGCATCGTTAGTACATTTTCATCAAGTCGATAACGTTGTTATGACGTTGTTACAAGGTTAGTTAACCTTATTTGATATGAAATAATACATGACTCTTAAGATAGACTTGTAGAGATTTCAAAATATCAGGTATTATTAGGTTTGTCATTATCTAGACCTCATAATATGATTCAATTATGAAGAATCCCGATTATTAAGGAGATAAGCTTGCACGTCAAGACGAATCCTAGTCCAAAACGGATTTGGGGAAGTCCTATATATAGGGAGACGTCGAATAGAGAAGGGACACGGAGAAAAACACAGAGAAAACCTAAGAACTACATCTTCACAGCATCCAAAAGATAGCAATCAAGAGATCTAGCCTTGTTTTCCACATCCAACGAAGTTCTTTATAACGCTTTAGACAGCTAGACGTTGTAATATCATTCGGCTACAAGCCTACTTCGTTGATTAATAAAGATATACTTTTCTCTATCATTCTGTAGATCTGTGTACTTGCGAACCTGGTTAAATTTTGCCTAAAAAATGTCATACCTAAATTCAGAGGAAAAGATTAGCTCACAAAACAAAATTTGAAGAACAGAGGAAAAGGAAAAGGGAGCTAATTTCTGGTTTGATCTTTTTGCTAAAAAAAAAAACATGGCACAAAATGTAATCAGTGTATGCAACTGTCAATGGGAGGCACAAAATGTAATCATGAATCAACAATAAATGTTCTTAACACGAGAGATTAATACGTAAACCATTAGTCTCTGTGAACACAAAAAAATGGAATTAAATAACTAACTATTCGAATTTAAATTTACTAATTAAGTG